GAAACTGAAAGAGACCGCGGCAGACACAGACCGAAGGAGACAGAGACTGAGGTAATCAGAGACCGAGCTAGACAGAGAGTGGGGCAGACAGAGACCGAAACAAACACAGACTATGTAAAAAAATATAGATAGATAGATAAAGATAAATAGATGCATAGAGATAAACTGATATATAGATAGATATATGGAGATAAATAGCTTGAGATATAGAGATATATATGGTTAAATATATATATATATATATATAGATAGATAGATAGATATAAACATGTCTATCTATCTATATGTGTGTGTATAGATAGATAGATATTGTCTCTTTTTGTCTATCTCTCTAAAAAGACAGAAAATAATCTATGAGGAAAAATATTCAGCCAAACAAACATAGACATCCTGACACATATATAGAGGGTGATAAAAGTAGATATAAATTAATATAGTGAGACGGCCAGGTAGAGAGACAGACAGAAAGACAGACAGACAGGAAAATAAAGAGAGAGAGAGACCGAGGAGTGAGTGATAAATATAGATATTAGATTAATAGTGGACAAATGAATGACAAGATGTAAAGAAAAAATAGTGGAGCGTTTCATTTCGAGAAGGAACTTCATAAAAAATTACAGTTTTATTGGTAGGATCAATGCAGGTTATCTGTTCTCTTTAATCAATGGAGAAAACGCCAGGCCCCAGTGATTTCAACTCAATTGTAATACCTTCTTCACTGCGCTAAAAGACGGAGAATTGGTAGAATATCGACGCCAGCCTGACAGTGGTAGCAGGGACCGGACAATTTTTGAATTAACTGATAGTATCCCACATATAAAAACACCGTTGCGTCATACCTTCCCCAAGTAGAGAGTAATTAAATATTGGTATGTCCGAAAAGTTCATGTTGATTTTTATTCGGTTCATGTTCCAATACGTTAAAATACGTCAAATTTGTCGACAGATACAATATGCTTACATTTCCGATTAGAGTACACTTCAAACTATCTCTTGAGAAAGAATGTTTAAAATTACTTAATTCGTGTCAATTTTGCATTCCTGTGAAAACGGAAGATTATAAGGTGCATTTTAGAAACTTGATTTTTTTTACTGTAAAGGCAAAAATGACTCGCACACAACAAAGAAGATATGAGCAGTGTACTACGTTGAAGGTGCTTTAGATGGTGGATCTGTACGGAAGTGGTTCGCTAAATTTAGAGTTGGTGATTGTAGCCTTATGGATGAAGAACGCTCAGGCAGAACCCCTCCACTGCAGATGACGACCAAATCAAGACATTGGTTGAGATTAATCCGGATTGCACAACGTGGAAATTGACAGAAACACTAATTTTTTCAAAATCTACCATTCATGAGCACTTAATGAAGCTTGGGTACTCAAATTGCAACGATATTTGGGTACCACATGATCCAAGTGAAAAAAAATTGGGTTGCATTCCATCTATGGTTTGCCATATAAAATCAATGAAAATGCGACCTTTTTTAAGTAGATTGTGATAGTTATAAGAAATAGATCGTTTACAACAATGTTGAGCGAAAATGATACTGGGATAAGTGGCATAAGCCAACTTCAGCCACTTCAAAAGCAAGTCTTCACCTTAATAAAGTCATGCTGTTCATCTAGTGGGATTGGAAAAGAATCCTGGAATATAAGATTCTGCCAAGTAACCAGTCAGTTGATCCTGAAAAGTGCTAACTCACAATTGAATGAATTAAAGACAGGAAATGAAGAAAATCGCTCAAAATTGGCGAACAGGAAAGGTGTTGTTTTCCATCAGGATATTGCCAGACCGCACCTTTCTTTGCCGACCCGGAAAAAAATTGTTGCAACTTGGCCGGGATATGTTACCCCACTCGCCATATATAACCGAACATTGCTCCTTCGGATTTTCATTTATTCAGGTCATGGCAAAATAATCTCAATAGTAAAACTTTTAATTCTATGGATGACACAAATTGACATAATAAGTTCTTTGCCGAGAAACCAGTGAAATTCTGGGAAGATGGAAAATTTAACTTGTTGGAAAATTGGAGAAAGGTTGTGCAGCAAAATGGTTCATATTTACCTGAATAAATATTTAATGGCATAATTTTGTTTTATATTTTTATTTCTCTTAAAAATTGGAAAAAACTTTCTGGACAACCCAATAACATTTATTATATAAAATATGGTGGAAATTGCGGAAGGACGGATGAAATGCAAGAAGTATTTGATAGATATATTCATGATGCTTCGGACGTTGTAATCTCTCGTCTTCTTCAGGAATTTCGAACCGGACTCTTTTGGGGTAAAGTAACTAGATTCAGCTTTTATCCACTGGTCCATGTCTTCTCAAGGACGCGTTGGTTGAGTGCATAGACTTTAGCCTAAAAAAGTTGTAAGATCTATTTGGATCTTTGTTTTTAATTACCCCACTTTATATTAGAAGTAATTTTCTGAGAAGCGAAGATACCATTATTAAATCTGGATGAAAATTTACAGAATTCCAAAATTAGTACCCGTTTCTCATTCAGACATTCGTCTCATTTAATAAGTACATTCTGTAAGTCGAAATTTTGGTTCAACTTATTACAATGAACGACTAAGGCATTTCGTGTATAGATTTTTAAAATATATATATTCTAAGCTCCTAGTAGGGTCACCCTTGCTGGCTAGTTCGAAGGCCCAGATTATGAGCGACCTACCCCAAACACTCAAACGGCGGAACAAGCGGATGACGATTAAAATATCTTAACCATTGGATGAAAATGGCCACAGATGATGGACATGCTACAGAAGGCACCATTCAAAATTAGAAGTCATCGGCAGTTCATCGCAGTTTCATAAATGAATTCTGCAGGTCTTATCCATTACGAGCCGCCGAGGAAGGTAAAAAGTGTGGGTCACTTACTGGCAAGATGAGTTCCACCTTAAACAAATTCAGGTTATCGTCACTTTCTTCTACTCCGATTTTGTTTCTCCTTCAACCAAATCTTGCAAAGCCAAACGGCAAATGAGAATGGATGACGGGGGCAGATTCTGGTGAAACTGAAAGATTCTAGTCCTGAACCTGAATGTTGGCGGTGAATTTAGTCATCACTGTCATCATCATATAGTAAGTGACCAGAAAAGAAGAAATTAAATTATTCGATACGAGATAAAGCCGGCAATGATTTTAATTTCACATTGTTACACTAATCTATTTATGTAATTTTTATTCAATTTATTTTGGAATTCTTGCTTCCAAAGAGAGATACGTAGAAAACACATGGTCCATTAAACACACAAAAACTATACGCACTTATAAGCATCTGCATGGGCAATTTTGACGTAGTGTATTTGTTACAAAGATTGTCTCGCTAGATCACTTACGACTGAATAATGACTTCGATCTTCACTGGGTGCTCTACAATTTCGGCCTTGTGCCGAAAATCATTTGGGCACTTGGACGTGGTGTAATGCTTAGCAAGCTTGTCTTGCTAGATCAATTATGACTGGGTAGTGAGTTCGATTCTCACTGGGTGAAACATACTTTCGGCTTTGTGCCATATCTAAGGCAGGCTTAGAAAATCACCATAAGTCTCTGCAGGAAATAATACATCAATGACCATCGGAAAAACTAGTATTATAGCTTTCTACGTATAAACATTTATGTACCCATTTTTAGGGACGTGGGTGGCTTTAGTATGCAAATCACTGTTAATTAACATGTAATTCACCATCTATTTAAAATTGTGAAACCTGTAGCAATATTGATGTAAATAAATGAATAAATGTAGTATTTCATCCGGCGGACATCTTAAAACTTTTTTCATGTTAAAACTATGAGGTAAAGGTAAAATATACAGAAAAGCCACGTCATATCTCCGAGGGGTGCTGAATAGTTCCGTGATCGACCCGCTTGCTACACTCTGAAATGAAGTGACATATTGGAATTATCACGCAATTCTGAAAAACATATATTATGGCTGTGTCCATAGTAAGTCGAATACTCGAACTGTCTTAAACAATATAAGGAATTGATGAAATGTGTGAAATTTCAGACTGTAAAACACACACTGATGCTTCCTCGGATACTGAGAAATGCTCTAAAAATTTGAGAAGACTTACTTTTACCGAATCTCTAGTCATGATCACCAGACATCTGATGTAGATATCAAAATGCAAGCAATTGAAGCGCTACAAACGAGATTATATGACCACAATGTTGCTTGGTTCAGCGATGAATCACCAGGCATTTGGTGTGACTAAACAAAGACACGATAATAATAATATTATTATAATATAACATTAATATAATATATGTGTGTGTATATATATATATATATATATATATATTGTCATTCACATGACTGTTTCGCTGTATCACAGCTCATCAGTGTGGATAGACGTCTGGGTGCTTCTAGCTATGATCGAAAAACAACTGAATTGGCGTTAGTCAGGGTTTCTACCACTAAGCCGTTGACGCACATCAGGGAGGAACGTGAATTTAAGCGAATTTATTTTTCGATAAACACACAGTGACTGAGAGAACTCGATTCGATTTACCGAAGAGTCTTGCCTTATTAACCATATCTATCTATCTATCTATCTCTCTCTCTCTCTCTATATATATATATATATATATATAGTGACTTTTCAAGCGTAGCTTAGATGTGGCACAAGGCCGAAAGTAGGGGGTACCCATTGTGGATCGAACTCACTGCTCAATCGCAATTGTTCTAGCGAGACAAGCTTGCTAGCCATTACACCACCTCGAGGTGCCCAATATATATATATATATATATATGTGTGTGTGTGTGTGCGATAAGATATAGTTTTGAGTTATGCTATATTTATGGGTTGTATGAATATTAAAGTGGACACTGAAGTCAACACAGATTGGCCACAGTCTGTTTCATGTTTGAACACAATCTTTAGGGCAAACAAAAATTTCATTCATGCAAGAAACCGACTGTCATCACTCACTTACCCACGGTGAGGATTTAAGGAATCGTACTGAATAATAGATATTCCTCATTTTATCGCGTTGCCTTATCATGTCCTTAGCCCTGATACGTTACGATTTGAGTTAAAGTAAACTATACGGATATGTAACCCACGAAGCCAGGCATCTGTAGTAAAATAATTGATATTACTATTGTTAACATTGATCAAAACAAAAATGTCGTCTTTCTTTCAATACACTCTACTATAAAAAAAGATATTGCAATACTTAACTTCCTTTTAATATCGTAAGTATGACGATTTGTATCTGGCCATGTTTTAACTTTAAAATGTGTGTGCGTATCAACTCTTCCAGTCAGTATTATACACATATCATCCTATCTGTTTATCTCCTGCATAAAACAATACTGATTTTGTGTAATATACCAATCGTTATGTTTTCCTTGTCATCAGCGCTACATAAACTTGTTCTCGAATCTATTTTAGCACATGACAAATGAACATTTCTCATCACTAGATTTCGAGTTCCCACAGCTTTTTCATCTTTTTTCTATAGAACTCTTTTCAACATTTACTTTTCACATTTTCTTTCTTGGAATTCTATTTTATATTTGCCAAGAATAAAGTTTGGCATATAAATGTTTTAAATGTTAGCGGGCACTATCTGATTAAATTAAAATTAATTTAGTTTTAAATGGTTTTCTTCGTAAGATTATTTACTGCATTTTTTTTTTTATGTAAAAATGATTAGCTGTTATTTTTTTTCTTCTGAAAACTGTTTTTCCTTCATTTTTTCCTGAATCTGATTTTAACTCGCTTATCGGAGGATATTCTTGGCGGAGTGCTTGCTGTTGCTACAATAAATGGAATTTGGTTAAAATTGTTCCTCAAATTTTAACGACGCTTTCATTATCTCACTCCTTTTAATCTCTTTGTAGTTTATCCACATTCTCTCATCTCCTTTTCACAAATGCAGAGAAGAATAAAATAAACATTTCTTTCGCCAATATGGGCTCATACTTGGCACACACGCGCACGCGAAACAGGACTGCCTATTTTATTATATATACATATAGGGGGTTACAGGATGTGGAAGAATTAGGGACAGAAGCATTAAAAATGAGCGGGAAGAGGAAAGAATAATCAGGAGAACAGTAGATAGCGATTGACATTGCATTTAAGTTTTTAAAGTTAGCTGGAAAGCATGGAGCCGGAAGGGAGTTATACAAGCAAGAAGTGCGAGAGAAGTTGTTAGCATAGAATTTACGGTTATATCTAACATGTTTAACTGTAAATTGATGAGTTATCGACTCTAGTCTAGTACTGTGCTTAAATTTGAAAGGACTAAGTATTGTGAGACCGGAACTACCTACACAATAGACTCTTCCAGGTCTATATTAAGTATGCGACACAACACTCTAGACTGAGTGACACAGAGAGACAGTGAGAGTCTCGTACGACTACCAGTGTTGGACACTAACATATAGTAAGCTCCGCTTCACTATTTTTGTAACCTGTTGCTAATATATCTTTCTTACATCTAATCCGTGTTCCGTGTTTTCCTTCTGTGGTCCCAACTTTGGCCCCACATCACTAAGTAATTCAGTGTAGAGCACATCCGAACAATTACCATGAAAATATTTATCGAAAAGACATGGAAAGGCAACATTATGGCGGTGGCTGATTCTTCTTTTGATCTTATCATGGAGAATGAGGGTAGATGATGTGTAAATAATAAGCAACCACAAAATAACTTCATGTAGGAGGGAAGTGGCCATACAGCCAAGATGGAAAAGCCGGAACATCACCATTGCTCGAGAAAGCAGTAGACACTAGAAATAAATCAATAGCGTGTCTAGAACGTGCTCCATAGCAGGGGACACAATAGGAACAACGGAAGAATGGATAAAATAAAAAAAATGACTATTAATACTAGACCTTCGAAGCCCGCCATATCAGAACATATCATTTACGTAATGTACAAAGTAGGGAAATCCATGCTTACTTTTACCTTATATATATATATTATAGTATAAGAGTGTATCCGTTTGTGCATTTGCGTCCAAAGTTGAGAATGCACGTATAGCTTGTATAGATTTACTCACACAAAAAGGCTGTAGTAGTTACCAGTATTTTCGCATATAGTCAGAAACACTTTTACCCATACACAGGCAGAAAGACATCCAGAAACTGATATACACACATTCCCCCAATAAACGCGTACATTTATCCTGACATGCATACAGTCCAGGACATGTCAGTGACAACCATTGAAGATATAAAAACAATAGGCTGTCTTTTAACAAAACAAAAAACCAAAAAGAAAAAGGAAAGAAAAGACTGACACAACAGATAATCAGGTTGAATAATGAGCGCCTGGATTTGAAGGATGGAAGTAAACTATAATGGAATATGCAGGGCCGGGGCGGTAGTTATGAGTGCCAACTGACTCATTTTCTAATCAAAAGGTGATGTCATCAGTCCACTAAGAGATTAGCCAATCATCGGGTCGCGTTTGCTCGTTCGGTCCTCTAAGTCGACCAACCATTCTGTTTTACGATGCGTTCATCTTGATTGTGAGTTTAAAAAAAATGAGAAATGTTTGGTGTAAGATGGCGCTGCCGATATTTAATTTGAGAGCCGACTGTGATTTTGGGTTGGAGAGAAATGAACTTACAAACAATTGGGAGGATTTTTAATTGACAAAAATAAAACCAAAGGGAAGAGAAGAGATCTTTTTTTGTTTTCTCTTGGAATAGAAGTGGGGATTTTTATGAAGTTGTGAAAATAAATTAACAAAATACTGTAAATAAATACAAAATAAAATTTAATAAAAGGTACACAAGAAATGAAATAGAAAAAAAAACAGAATCTAAGTAAGAAAGCTACTGAAGATGACATTAAAAAAAGAAAAAGGAAGATAAATAAAAAAGCAAAAACGATAAAGAAGGAAACGTCGGCCACGCTTTCTGACATCCGACAAACTGCTTTCGAATAGAAAAAAAGATAAAAATAAATCTAAGTTTAAATTAAAGGAGAAGAGACTAAATTAAAACAATTTAATCAAATTTTATTCTTGGGTGTCACTGTTTTTTTTTTAATTCTCAAGTAGGTTTTCATATTAAGTCCAGCATATGTTTTTCATGTGTTTATCATCTTTATTAACGTTTCTAATACATAATAATAGACACGTATGGAACGTATTCATTAAACAATCTTAAATATAATTATCTATTTAAATCTGCCTCTATCAACTTCAATGTGTTCGTCTTTCTCTCAACCCTATCTGTCTTTTCTTCTACCTATATGCACATCTACGTATTCTGTTACCGATCATCATTCTATCTATCTATCTATCTATCTATCTATCTATCTATATATATATATATATATATATATATATATATATATATATATATATATATATATATAAATGTATTGAACAACAAAAATCCAAAATTTTTGTTTTTTGTTGTGTATCTGTTAAAAAAATGCATTGAGTTCTTTCTCTGGATCATTTATAATATAAAGATAGATGCTAATAGGATACACTTGATTATATCCCAACGGATTTATTATATATATATATATATATATATATATATATATATATATATATATATATATATATATATATATATATATATATATATATATATATATATATATATATATGAGGAGGCACGATAAATAATGGATAGCGGCTTGGATTGAGGAATCGAGTTTCGAATTACACTTGAATGCATTACATTCACTTACGTGCTAATACCCTTGGGAAAGGTGTGAATCCTCTTCTTCTCCCTCCAGCTATGGGTAAATACCAGGACAGACTGGGTTTTATAGCCTTGGATGGCAACTGGTCTAGAAGGACAACTCTGAATTCAAAACCTGCGCAGGGTCGTTTGGGGACCTTGTGGCACTTAGTGCACCAGGACTCTGTATTCGGCCCTTCAAACATTATGAATTGTCCTGCATGAAACCTTCACAATTATAATCAAAATCTCTTGTGCTCTTGTCGGGCTGTCGGTTTCCTTGAAACTGATCTGCTTGACCCTCATACGTCGAATTCTACGGTATATTTATAATAATTAAGAGGATGCAATTAATCAACACTTCAGAAATTTATTATTGAAATGCTTCTTTTTAATTCTGATTAATAATAATAAAATGGTAAACAATAGTAAATTAATTACTGCTACTGCTCGAACTGCAAGCCACCTGCCTCAATGCTTTTGCTTTTTATTATAAGTAATTGTATATGGACTTTATTTGCCACCTTTTATATATATATATATATATATATATATATATATATATATATATATATATATATATATATATATATATATATATATATATTTATATTATAATTACAAACCTGTCGCTTCTGTCGGTCACATATGTACACACGATTTTAAATCCAATGGTAGGATATTTGCTTAGGTTTGGTTTCAGTTCGATGACTTTGGTGTCTGGTTAAAGACTGAAGAATGTTCTTTGTCAAAAATTTTCATATATTTTTCATGTATATTTAACGTGGCGTTTATTTGCAAAATAGTTGGAAAATGCACAGCTAGAAATCAAAAAATCTTTATGAATAAAGCATTGAACATAAATGCCAAACAACTTAACATCAAACACACTAAATATATTTTAATAATAATAATAATAATAATAATAATAATAATTATTATTATTATTATTATTATTATTATTATTATTATAAACAAATGAGACAAGCTACCACAGTATCTGTTCATATTTCTGAGATGATGTATTGTAACTATTTACACAATTTACATTGTTCGAACTATTGTCCTCATCTTTATTGTCATATTCACGACGTTTCATCCTTTGAACGCTCCAGCTTTCTTCAGGTGATATACGTTGAAATTTCGAACCGAATATTTTATTTCGTCCAACAGGGTAGATTGTTCTCGTTCTGGATATCGCAGTTTCATTTATCTCCCTTTAGTAACCCATCTCTCCAAATTTTTGTTCATCTCTACCGTGGCCCTGTATTGAACTCACAACTCTTTGGGTCAAGTCACTAGATTACTTCAATCAACGCTT